AACCTGGTAATTTATTATTTTTCAGCATCTGAGTAAACCAGTGAATCTACGGTCTACGCCTGTAAAAAGAGGAGGGGGGTTAAGTGGGGGAGAGGGGTCACCATCTACTAGTTCTCTTAGTTTAAACCTAAATTCATCTCTCAGTCTGAATAATATGTAAGTATTTTTACTGTTTATTATTCTTGCTTGTGAAATATCTGGATTCAGTTTGGACATATTGAAACTGGTATGGATGTAACAGGGGCAGTTATTTCATTTTTATGTCAGACATATATGCAATGAAATATAAACATAAACTACTTAAAATAGTAATCATTTTAATTAGATTTAGACCGTCTGAATTATTTGTTTATCTTGTAAATCTCTTCAGAAGTAGGTAATTTTCTATCAAATTGATGTACATATTATATTCCAATGCTGTAATTCACAGTCCCTACTTGTGACCTAGGCCAGTGCTTCTATAAGAGAGTTTCTCTTATAAAACCTTATACCAAACTTTCGTTCCGTTTTTTATTAGCTTTTATTTTTAATATAACCATTTATGTTAGGGCTTTCTTGAACATTTGTCAATTTAATGACACTGCCAGCCAATCAAATTTTGCCCCCTCAACAAAAGATGTATTAAGAGAAGCATTAGACACTGATGCACCTTTTGTTCGTGTAACAACCTCCCATCATGATAGATTTTAATTGTAATAAGACTTAATGATAAATATTATAATGATTAAAACCTCAAGTAAAGATTAAGGTATGATAAATTACAGATCTCTATGGCATGAATTACATGGTTTATTACGTGTTTTATGGTCTGGTAAATGGAGTCAAGTCAGTCCCCATGGTTTTCTACATACAGTATGGAACAGAATTCCCATGTTTAAAGGTTATTCTCAACATGATGCTCAAGAATTTTTATGGTAAGATGAAAGATAGCTTGTTTTTCTTTCTTTTATAAGGGATGACTCAGTTAGACACCTGCTCGTTAACCTGGAGGTCCAGGGTTCAAACCAAGCATAGGTTGTGATAATACCTTCAGATTTCCCTCTGTCAGTTATGCAGGTAACAGGGGCTGACAAGGAAAAAGCGTCTAGTCGTTCGTATGTGACAATAAACTGAGGCCCCGTCAGTTAGAAATCTAAAAAGAGCAGGCTAATGCCGCTGTCTTGGCAAAATTACCCTCATTGTACCCTGCGGGGGTTTTTCTGTCTTCATTAACTCACATGGTGCAGAACAGTAGGACGTAAAACTCTATTCATTTATTGATTTTGTCAATAATTTGAATGTTATGTTTTTTTCATCATTATTTATTGAATTGTTATATTACAGTGAATTATTAGATAAATTAGAAGATGAGGTACCGGAACTTCCTGAAACTAATCACCATAGCAACATATTAACTGATATCTTTCAAGGTCAACTAGTTAGCAGTGTAAGTTTCTTAATTATTAACTGAATTTACAATTACTGGAACAGCCAAACCAAACAGACAAAGCTGTTCCAATTATTGAAGATGTTCTCCAATGAATCACTGAGATCAGAGCTTTATCCCACTGCTGTAGAATATTAACAAGGATTCTGACGCTGTTTCTTGCCATTCAGAAATTATGTTTGTTATTACAGGTAACTTGTATGAAATGTGACCATCAATCCTCAACATACGAACCATTCTTAGATTTATCACTAGAATTTCCCGATCGTTATCAAATCACATCATCTAATAGTAATATCTCGGATACTTCCTGTCATGTGACTGAGATGTTATCAAAGTTTACCGAGA